CAATGAAGCAGTTATTGCCAAGAAGGATAAGGCAAATACAGCTATCATGGCTGATAACATACGCCGACCTGTCCCGATATCTTTTGTCGGTTGTTGCCCTTTTTTCTTGTCATCTTGGTAAGTTTGGTTTGCTGCATGGCCTTCGCTCGCAGGCGATGACGGCTTATTAAATGACTGTATATTATTGTAAAGGTGTTCATCGCTGGGCTCTGTCCCATATTCACAGAACATAAGCCGACCTGTTGCGATATCATCTTGGTAACTTTGGTTTGCTTTTGGGACTCTGATTGGTGAAGATGGCGCATTGAACCTCTCTATGTGATTACAAAGAAGTTCATCGTTGATTCCTGTTCTGAAAGCACAATTGGTTGCTGCCATCTTTTATAGGGTGCGACGAAATCCAAGACCTCAGGTGCGGAAAACTCAGACCTTCCGTCACCTCGGCCGACACAAACCAAACTGCTTGCTTTAAATCTTTTTAAGCTTTTGTATGGTGTTTGAAAACGGAATTTTGTTTGTCCAATATATACACCTAAAAAGGAATCTGATTTAGCAAAAACTGCGTCACTAATCGTATCAATGGTAAAAAAATCACCATAATTGGTTAAGGGGACACTGCATCTCATTATCGCTTCAAAGCCGTGGGAAAGCCGGATATATAGTCAGACTTCTATGTGCGACACTCTAGTTAGTGACCACCTCCCATATAAAGCGACCATCTAAACAAAACATGAAAATTTTCCCAGTCAAATCCTTACAATCAGAACCTCTCGTAAACGACCACCCGAGCGACCTTGATGATTTTTTGTTCTGACGGTTTTGTCATTTTTAATAGTTTTTAACCTCTTGTAAGCGACCACTTGTCGGATGATGTGGTCTCTGTTCGCTGTAATGTACTACGCTGCTCCGAGTTTAATAAGAACATGGGACTATACTACGACAGTAAAAACCCGCGTATAAGAACCTACTAGACTTTTCCAACTTATCCTAAATAGGTTCTTATGGAAATTGTATTTAGAGGAATTTTAGGTTACCGCTAATAGATTCTTAAATAGGTTCTTAATTTGATAGGGGCACTAGCGATCAGCGCAGATAACTACTATAGGGAATATGTGATATGGAATGTATTGCAGTATTAAATAATTATCTAGAATACAGTTTAGATGATAACCATGCGCTAAATTTATCTTTCCAAAGTACTAGCATGCATGTCTTTCATGCTGCAGTGTCCATAAAATGCTGTTATATTTTGAATCTTACTGACTGAAACCTAGCCTCCCACGCAGACGTTCTTAGGGGTTCGCCACGCGTTCCTGCATGGGAAGCTAACTGAAAACAACGCTAAAAGTTTTTTTGTGTATTTTCATTGGTACCTTCATTTTTTTCAAAATGAGAATTTATTAAAAATTTTAGACGAAATAGGTTCTTATGGAAAGGGGTTTTGAAATGAAAATTTTAGCCAAACAGGTTCTTAAATTTAAGGTTCTTATACGTGAGTTTTCACTGTATACGTAACTTAGAAATCGCTCGCAATAAATTATCTTCCAAAAATTAGATGTCTGGACGTCTTCTCAGAAGAGGCCCTCTGGTATTTGATTCTCGTAAGCGACCACTAAATCTTCTTCGATTTTGGATGGTCTCTTACGGAGGATCGACTGTTTGAAGATTCAGGGTACCATTGGTACCACCCCTATGAATGGAAATAAATTTCCATTAACTACATTTTATTAATCTTCATTTCGGGCCATAATGATCACTCATTCAATTTAATGTTTCCTTGAACCGACGGGTTTTCTCACAATCTGTTTCTGTAATCTTCGAATGTGAAAAGATTTAAATAATAAGCAATTTGATATGAGTTACACCCATCACTCCAAAACGAGAGAACAAACCGGTTCAAGAGTACCCAGCATAGTTGGAGAATAAATCGGCCCTGGGACAAGAAAATTGAAAGCCGGGAAATTATAATGACACATTTTAGGCTCTATGTATTGATCTTAATTGAGCTACAATTTACAAAGCGAAGTCGTGTTATCTGGCAGGTGGCGTTATCTATAGGCAATATCATTCTCTGGAAAGTTCCAGTCGTAGCATTCGATCATGCCTGTCCTTGAAAATTCTTGTTTTTGCCCGATTTGGCAGCAACGACATAGTACATGAGGTACTGTCGGCAAATAGTTTCATCGAAACTCTCTTGCAGGTTTTGTTTCATGTACTTCTTGATTGCTGTCTTAGTACCGCTGTGTCAACCGACAGGACAACTCATGTCCGGGATGTTCTTTCAACTCTCGAATATCAAAAAATAGCGGCGATAAAGGTGTTCTTGACAGATATTTGTCAAGTTTATTCTTATTCAACAAAAAAGCGTTCTTGTCTTGATCAGCGAGAAAGTCAAAAAATTATATTTTATTAATATCAACGTAAGTTAACTTTTCTCGCGATTAATTATAAATAGCTTTAACCACAGATATATTCATGTAAGATCTTGAATTTGATGTTTCTTGATATAAAAATTCCGGTGGTACCCATTGAGATTTGGTTACGAGTAACTCACAATCAGAGACCAAAAACTCCGAAAGTCGCTTCAGTCTTATTATTCCGCTATATTTTAACGACCAAATCTTGGCTCGAATGCGGCTCTAGCCTGCTAAATTCCCGGATGTGACCGGGCATTCTGCGCGATGTGCCATTCTCTATCTGATTGCATGATGATTGCGAAGACTTTTCACGCTTCGTAAACTATGGCCCCTTAAGGGAGCTGTGTCATGAATTTTATGAAAAGTCTAACAATAAGAACTGCCGCTAAATTGAGTGAAACATACATGTAAAACTAATCGCTCGAAAGATTACAAGAGGGTATCAACAACACAGCAAATACAAAAGTAGGCACTGATGGATGGACATACTTGAAGGAGATTACAACAGATTGCAACTGTGGGTTTTCTCAAAACTGGTTAGCCTAACAGTTTTACAAACAAGTTTATATATTACATGAGAAAATTCTGCAATTTGATTAGCTTAGAGCAGTGGTATTTCAGCTTAACTTGAAATACCTACATGTGAAAATTACAAACCTTTGCCGGTAGTAATAACAAATAATTTGTAGTGATATTTGGCATAAATACCACTCGTGATATTTCAAAATTGTCTCAAATGTCACTCGCCTAACGGCTCGTGAAATCACGTATAACAATTTCGAAATATCACTCGTGGTAATTATGCGAAATATCACTACAATGCAAATCAGTCATGCAATTACCTATACTAACAATAAAGGTCTTATTTTCCAATATTCATATAACAATGACAGTACTTTAAATATTATTTACTTTACAATCAGACATTTATGCCGCCTTTGGAAACTCTTGAAAAAAGATTAAATTAGCTCAAAGGTGTTGTCTTTGGAAAACGATCACTGAACGATCTCTTCGTTTACTCGTCCGTCAGTTGAATCAGTTATGAGAGCAGGGTATTTATTCCTTAACTTAAAACCTTGACTTTCGTCTGTGGTAATGTTAACATAACTCTTGCGATCTCCCTTAAATAATTACAGAAGACTCTCGTTTTGGCTTTCCTACGAAACTATTTAAAATACACAATCCTTATACTACGTCTTTGTGATGTTTTGCTATGTGCATCACGTCCTCTTCCCTTGCTCTCGCTTGCGACTTGGAGGAGGTGATCCAGTCAGAGTTAAACATCGCCTGAGATAAGAGGAGTCTTTTTACAAAGATTAAACTAGCAATATATTGTCTTGTCTATCTAAATAGGCATATTTTTAGGTGAAATATTTAAAAAGGAACGATATTAACCCATTCTAGAAGGATTGGAAAATGCCCCACCCCCGGGCAGAGGTTTTCTGACAAATTCCCCACCGCCAGAACCGACAAGATGACAAACGCCCGACGCCCGGGAGGAGGATGGGCACCCTTGGAATCAAGTGACTGAGCCATATATGCGATATGTTTTTGACTACGGTGAGAACTGAAATCCTTAGTTTCCGAGTTTCCTTACAAAGACTATGTTAAAAACTTACGCATGCCCAAAGCTCACTTGGAAGCACATACCATTAAAATATATCTTACTGGTACTTGTTTCAGCGGGTCTTTAATTTCGCCAAAAAAAACTGAATATTTTTTAATCCGAATTTCGTGTCCACTGAAACCCTTTAAAGTTGTCTAACTTAGGTACAAAATTGAGTAAATATTGAAGCGATGTCATAGATTTGGGTAGTTGTTTGCTCCGAGACGTCCTATTGTCTCTAGTTTAGCACCACATCAAAATCTTATGCAGCACGCAAGAATAGTCCAGTTTCGAATTCATCGCGGCCGCTGAAGAGAAGCACTGAAGACTCATTTATACCGGTTAGCCTCGATCTAAGGTTAATATATTCACAAACTGCAGTCAGAACAAGACCTGTGTACAACTGTTTCTATGTTTTAAACTCAAATTCAGGCACTTTATCGCCGGTATTTTGTGAATATTTTACTTTAGGTCGAGGCTAACCCTGTATAAATGAGTCTTCAGTACGACTATTCGGCGGCCGCTACGAATTCGAAACTGGACTATTTACTGCGCTTGTTTTTCCCCGAAAATATGGTAATGTTGTGGTAACAGTAGAAATAGACTTCTCAAGAGGTAACAGTGTCACACAATCCGGCTCAGTCATTGCTGGATGCCTGCCTGTTAAATGATTTAAAAGAAATAATTTTTAAAAAGGAAAGAGAATCAAAAAACATACGTTTTACACGCGATATACTCAAGAAGAGAAATCCCGTCAACTGCCTTCGTCCGGCTTTGGTCATTTGAGTGCATTAGCTCAATATTATTGCAGCTTCTTGCACACAAATCCATTCGAAGACCCAAAGGTGACATCCTTCCAGGAACCCGGAGCCTTGCATGGTTCGGACTTGTTCGTGAACATGTAGACGCAAGGTTTACTGGAGTGTCCTTGCCGTTCAGTGGAGTTCGGCCAGTACCGGAAGTATGGAACTGCCTTATCAGACCATAGGAACTTTGTTCACCTCTTGATCATACTTGAGTCCGATCCAAACCCGTTCATGAGATGGCTCTCGCTTGTTAACAAGTTTGAATACGTACTCGTTTTCTTCGAAGCTGGTTATCTCCACTAGCTCTCCCTCCTGCTTTTCGCAAAACTTTTGGGCGTCGTCCCACGGTTTGCGTTCTTTACTCACAAAGTAACAGTAGCTTTTAAAGTGCGTCCAATCACTGGTACAACCTAAAAAAATTTTAGAACGCATGGTTGGCTAGCGTTATACTTAGTTATAATAGGGAAGAGAAGTGTGACGTCACTTTACCATGGTGGCACTATTTCTGGATGACAGGAAAACCAACGACGGCAAGGAGAACGGCAAAAAATAATATGTTTACATTAACAAAAAACAACTTTGCATGTGCATCACGCTATTTGTACATTTCTTTGCCTTCGTTGTACCACTACGACATGAAACGTCCTAATTTCGCGAGCCCGCGCTATGGAGTAGGTGAACGCAGCAGAAAAATTTTCCCTTTCTTTTTGCAAACTTAGATAACGATAGATACGCTTCCAAGGAAAATTTCGCCAAAATTTGCGAAATTAAATGAAATCGAATAAGATCGGTGAATTTGAAATAGTGCGAATAGTGACTTTATCGGTTTGTTGTTGTTCAAAAATTTTGCTACCATAGCAACGTGACGTGACCTCTCTCTTCTATACTAATAACTTAAAGGGGCTATGTCACAAGGATTTCAATAATAATAATTATTGCGTTCGAGGTACGAGAACGCAACCCCTAATTTGTGTTGGGTGTTCTGTGCTTTACTGGGTGTCCTGTGCAATTAATAAGGGAATTTGAGATTGCATTTTTGTCGTCGTCGAAACACATTTGCCTCACTTTGAAGTGCTTCCTTACGTTTTGTCTCACGTTGACGCGCTAACTCACGTGGTGTTTCGTGTGTCCTTGGCGTTCATCTTTCAAAGGTTTGCTGAGGTCTGATATTCTGTCTTCGTAAAGCATTCATTTTTAAAAAAGTTTGCTGAATCTTCGTAAAGCGTACATAGATCTGTGTTTGCTGAATCTTCTAAAGCGTTCATCTTTCAGAAGTTTGCTTTTAAATTTTGCTTTGGACTAAGCCCTCATATTTTTCAGCATGGTCCGTCACTGTCTTTGGAAAATGTGTGCGATTCCTGGTGCATGCATCAAACCGGGTTTAGTTCGGCTGCCTTTGTGTCACAGAGTAAATCTACTGAGTTGTGTAGCTCGGCAGCCGTTGTCAGACCACAGAGTAAATTTACCGAGTTGTGTAGTTCGGCGGCCGTTGTGTCACAAAGTAAACCTACCGAGTTGTGTAGCTCAGCAGCCGTTGCGGCCACAAAGTAAATCTACCGAGATGTGAAGCTCGGCTGCGCTATTTGATCATGACTAGTGATATTTTCGGCACCAGACAAACGAACACTTTAACTCTGTTATTTATTAGGAAAAACTTATAAACCAGCCCACAGTAGCGCCACTCTCGAGTGACTGAAATCAACACGCTTGACCAAATTACTGAAAAGTTATTGACGTGAGCCGCACATGCATTCCACTGAAGGCTTTGACAGGGTTAGTGCGAAATTTGAATTCAGATGTGAAAGCTTTTAAAAAGGTAAATTCAGTTTAATTCATTTTGTCAACAAGTTGACGATTGGATTCTCTTGAAAATAACAGAGAAAATTATCCGAAGAAATGTTTTCGAAGAAAGAAAAAGAATCCCGCGTTAAGCGCTAATCGGCCTTTGAACAACTGCGCCCTGTAATCGCGCCAGTAAAACTCTGGCCACTGTCTCTTCCGAGTACAAGCACAGTTTAAATAGAGGTTTAGTTGTACGCAACCCTTACGTTCAAAATATGCCATAACCATATTTATCTATCGCAAGAACCATCCAATCTTCCCCCTCATCTGTTAGCCGCCTATACGCCGAACAAACATATCGAACGCACTCAGTCCTGGCTTCGATTACTCCTAGTTATAAAAGTAAATTATAATTATCATAAAAAAATCGCCGAGAATCCTTTGAGGCAATCTTTTAAAAATCGTTATAACTTTGACAATTTTATACCTAGATTACTGTCATACCACAACAAAATAACATTTGCCATAAAATATCTTCCCATGTCATATCTAAGGTAATGACGTCACCAGTCACGTGACTATTCCGAATTAGGTTTTTTTTATTGCTGTGACAAGATTTTATCAACGAGTTAAAAACAAATAACATATTTGAGGTTTTAGTTGTGTGGGGCATTTTTAACCAGTTGACGTCCGGCATTTAAAATTTAAGGGGGTAATGAACACGGGTGAAAAAGTCGGCAGACTAGGCCGAGGGCTGTAGAGAGGCAACGTTTTATCACAAGGCAGAGGAAATTAGCGGGAGAGTAATGTTCTACCTGTTAATTATTTTCGTGACCAAAAGAGGGACATGACGTCATCAGCCACGTGATCAGAGCGTTTTGAAAGTTTTAGTTCCTTCTTAAAGTACCTTTTTTGTCATAAATTGGCAAATTTTTTCCTGTTTTTCTCAACAATGCTGTACACTGTCTTTCCTAGTAATTATCATTCCGTTTTTTCAAAGCAGAACCAAACCAAAACTGAGCCTGAAGTTTAAAAGTTGCGTAAATTGACCAATAAATCAAGTTAAAAATCGAAAAGGAGGCCTACTCTTGAGACTTTTGTAAAATCCCTTTTCAACTTAATTTTTTTTTGCCGAAATAAAAGTTCAACGTTTGTTAATAAAGGAGAACTTTAAAAACTAAAAGAATGTATATATTTGGCGGTCATATTGTTTTTCTTCATTCCGGGAGAGAGCTAATGAAGCAGCCCTTCTAACCCTAAAAGCCAAATGGTTTGCTACCCTAACCTAAAGCAATGGAAATAATGATAAACAATGTTGTGTTTATGTTTTCCCCGACTGATGAAAAGACACCTTACGAGCAGGGGGAGTATCGTACGGTCATACGGTTCAGTCGGTAACCGTGCGATCGATAGTTCATAAATTTCTGCAACGTTTCCCCGCGATGGACCAAGCCTGAAAGAATATTAATGGGTTTATTGTGATCTTTACGTCTAGCTTCGATCAGTTAAAGATTTAATTCTACACGGAAATTTAAGAAAAACCCGAAAAAGTCATCCTTGAAAACTGTCAATCACTATAGAGAAGGAATATAGACCTCTTTTAATAAACTTGAATTGTCAGCGTTTACCAAGGTGGACCAGTGGATAGTGGTGTTAACTCTTACTTCTAACTACCGTTTCTGAGGGCCCAGGTTCCAAACCGCTTGAAGCGAATTCTTCGTAACCTTATTTTTTTTTGTTTTTTAAAATTTTTTATTTACTCTCTTTTTTACCTGTGTGGTACATATAGCTTGAGGCATAATTTTGTAAATTGAAAGCAAAGTTTACAGGAATATAAATGTTACAGGACACTGTTTTCATTACCGAGCTCAATCGTCGATTTTCACATGTGCCTAATTTAATTCGAGAGGTAACTGCTTTGAGATGGAACGACTAAATCAACTAAATTCGGCAGTTTTAAGTAACGGGAAGGTCACGGGTTCGAATCCCGTTGAAGCCCTGATTTTTTTTTCAGGCTTCTTCTTTCCAACTGCTTAAGTTGGAAAAATTTACTGCGATGATCATTCTTCACTTTCATCTACAACCGCAGTTCAAAAATGAATTATTTCATATACACTTCACAGTTTTAAGTTAAATACGACTTTCTCGAATCTGCGACTGAAACAGTCGAAAATTCGATTTAGGTTCAACATTTGATTTAGAAGTCGCATTACACATGTGCCGAATACTGAATGCATTAATTGTAGAAAACCTTATCCATATTGGATAAAAAAAAATTTGTAGAGACTGGGAATATTTACAACAAACGGAGTTAAATTCGGCACCATCATATCCGACGTCTGAATCAAACTCGAAGCTTTATATAGAGTAAAATAATTATAATCTACTATTACCGGTCATCTATGCATCCAAAAAATTTTGGTTGTGACGTAATCGTCCGTCCGCCCGCCCGTTCGTACGTACGTACGTCCGCCATTTCATGTTAGCTGAGGTGAAATTTTTCATTTCAAGCATCCCGCTTGCTTCGTCGGTAAATCACATGGCCACCCAGACTTTTAGAGAGAGAGAAAATCAACAACAACAAAAAAGCCGAGTCTTTCTTTAGACTAAATTTGAATGTCTAAATTAACGTGGATAACAGGGAAAGAGCTAGAGTGACAAATAAAAAAAAAACAACGGAGACCAATTTAGTTGGAAGGAAAAACATAAAAATTATATAGCAGCGGTGAGAAAATGAAAAAAGCTAGCGACTTCCAAGGTGAAATGAGCCGCAGTGAAAAAACAGTGATAGGGAACACAAACATTTCCTCCATAAAACGTGTAACTAGGAAGTTAAAAGAAGTTCCACGTTTAAGTCGTGCAAAACAACGGCAAGGAAATCCTAAAAAAAGTGTGCTGCACGTGCAAAGTAGTTGTTTTGCTAATTAGAATAAACGTACAAATTTGTCTTTTTGCTAATTATATCTATTGTCGTTGTTTTTTACCGTTCTCGTTGTCTTCACCGTTTCTTTAGTATTACTCGATTTTATTATTTTATTTTTTTTTGAGGAAACTATAAGTATTAAAGAGAGTTTCGCTTTTAGCCCTGGCTAAATCTATATGTTATTCTAGGCTAAAACGTGGGCCACCCCGGATACGAAAAACCAGCCCTGGGGGTTACTTGGGTCAATTTTTGCTGGGTATGTGCCGCTGGCCTCTCAGAACCCCTACCCCATTATAATCTATTCTGTGGCATTGAATGGTATATAAAAGTATAAGGAGATGGACCGCGGAGCGGACCCTCCTTGTATAAAACTACTGTATTGAGTACCCCCCAGGCCTTTAGGGGTTTAATTTAAATTTCCGACGAGGATCCCCGTCACTTTTGTATGGGAGCCCCTCCTCCCCGTCCCCGTACCACATTTAACATTAGACTCGTCTTGTTAAGAGCTCATAGCTAAAGGGAAGATACAGACAGCTTTGTTTCGCCGTTTTGGAACTTATTAGCGTATCGTAGCCTAGCATGTGCCCTGGCTCCAAATGGTAACTTGTAGTCGTGCAGTAAACAGTTATGCGAAAAACGCGCGCACCGCCCCCTTCCCCAGATCGAGCGCGTCTTATTTTCGCAACGTCCCTATTATCTGAGAGCCTGGCACAGGCTAATCGCAGCCACAAACATATAAATGAATGTGAATCAAATATTACCCATCTCATTAGATTCATTCACGAAAGAGCTAAAGATCATACGATTTCCGGTCACCCAAGTACTTGTGGCCTAAAAATAATATGATGTAAACCCTAAAACGTGTTGAATGCCCTGGTTAAAGGGAACGAGAGATGGCCAATACCATCCGCTGCGTACAATGAAATAAAGTGAAAGACCCGGGGAACTCCCATATAAAAGTGACTGGGGATGCTCGTAGTGTCGCTTACGCCGTGTAAATTGCAAAAATTTTGGACTCACTTGGGATGTTTGGGAAGGGAAGTCACTAGATGTTGCCTATTTAGGTATCGCTTAGGGCTGTGCATAAAACAAAATTTACAAAAAATGCCATGAAGTCTGTTTTAGTATGCTCTCCTTTAGAGGTCAGTTTAAGCTTTAGCCACATCCACGTTGGTATCCCTTAGGGGTATAATTTTAATTTTCCTATTAGCACCCCCGTCACTTTTATATGGGAGTTCCCCCCAGGGTGAAAGATGGTTGGATCAATCCAGATCAACCGGTTTAAAAACATGTCTTATAAGGATTAGCCATATTCAAATTAATTGAAAAAATTACCGTCAGAAGACATCATGATGTGTAAACTGATCGATGCACCAACCGCTGCCAAGAAGCATATTACCAGAACAGCTATCATAGCAAATAACATACGGTGACGTATCGCAATATTTCTCATGGGTTCTTGTGGTCTGTTATTCCCTTCGTAAGTCTGGTTTGCTGCTTCTTCTTGGTAAATTTGGTTTTCTGCTGGGGCTCCGCTTGGTACAGGCTGTCTATTGGATAATTCTATGTGATTATAAAGACGTTCATCGTTGGGTTCTGCTCTAAAAGCACTATTGGTTGCAACTGGTCTGTTATTCCCTTCGTAATTCTGGTATACTGCTTCTTCTTGGTAAATTTGGTTTGTCGTTGGGGCTCTGCTTGGTACAGGCTGTCTATTGGATAATTCTATGTGATTATAAAGATGATCATCGTTGGGTTCTGCTCTAAAAGCACTATTGGTTGCTACTGGTCTGTTATTCCCTTCGTAATTCTGGTATACTGCTTCCTCTTGGTAAGTTTGGTTTACTGGTGGGGCTCCGCTTCGTAAACACCTGGGTAAAGACGGCATATTAGATAACTCTATGTGACCATAAAGATTTTCATAGCTGGATTCTGCTCTGAAAGCACTATTGATTGCTGCCATCCTTCGTTGGGTGTGACGAAAACTACAGTGGTGAAAGACCTCAGATTCGAAAAACTCAGGCCCTCCGTCTCCTCGACTGACTCAGATGGGACTGTTTGCAGTAACATCGTTTTCCGCTTTTATATTGAATTCGTATTTTGTTTGTCCAATATAACTACACAAAATACGATTCGTCAAAAGCATCGGCGTCACCAATAGCCATGTTAAAGTGGCCGGTAGTCAAGAGGCTCTTCAAACCCTCTAATTTCGTTGAGTCCATAAATAGAACAAAGCTCATTTGTTTTCGGTTTGTGTTAATTGCTTGTTTCTGTAGTTGCTACTTAATTTCAGCCATTCCTGTGAGGCGCTTGGAGAACTTGGTAAAAAAATAAAACTCTTCACAAGCTACTTTCGCAGATGTGCCACGATAAAAAAAAAAAAAAGGCAGCGTCAAAAGGTGTTTTTGATATTGATTTTAACAAGCTTCCTCTTATTCAGCAAAAACGTTCTTTCGCAATTCCAAGTGATCTTGTCGTGATCAGCAAGGAAGTCAAAAGATTACATATTATAGCAGCGAAAGCTAATATTGTCTCGAGATGCAATAGCTTTAACCATAGAAATATTCATGGCTGGCCACATAACCTGTAATTGCTAAACATACCCTGGCTAACACCGGTACCGCTAAGAGCTCATGGTAACGCTGATGTATATTAAGAACTCCATCTGAAACTCTATCTTCTCTATCTGCCCTTCTCTTTCCAATTGCATGATGATTGTGAAGTATTTTCACACTTCAGAAACTACCTTTAAATTCTGATATCGATTCTAGACTTCCAAGACAGGATAATCTAGGTCCATATCTTAAACTGCTTGGGATCTTGAAACTTGAAAACCTAGTAAAACTGAAAATAGCAACTTTTATCAGCCAAATCAGAAACAAGGGCAACAATATTCCACACTTGTTCTCTGAACTTCTTTTACCAGTATCCTACATACACTTAGCCTGCGTACCGCAGACGTACGTCTGCGGTTCGCAGGCTAACATACACTCCCACAGTACAAGATATACACTGTAAAAACAGACCAGTTGTGGTAACTATATTAAAAGGTTATAACCAGTTGCAAAAGGTAATTTTCACCTAAAATAAACTAGTTAAAATCGTAACCTTTACGTTATTGGTTAGATTAACCAATGATCAGCAGTTATTGTGACGGTTATAATTCCGTTAGAATATCGACCGGTCAAAATAACTTTTCATGGCAGTCAAAATAACGAAACCAAATGGTTAAGCAAATGGTAAAAATGTAGTAGCCTGAAATCAATTGGTTAAAATCTTTTATTAACTATTTGTTGGTCATGACTAACCAATAATGATCTTTTATTTAGAGCTATGAAGTAGGTTAAACACTGAATGGTCAAAACTGACTTTTCCGAGGGGTTAAACTGAACGGAAAACCACAGAAGGAAATGGCTACACAAACGGCGGGTATGAGTTTCAACAACAGATCATAAAAGCCTTGTACCCAACCTTCAACGCAGACTTTTCCCTTACGCTGAAAAAAGAACAAATAATCAGCATTTATTATAGGATTTAGGATAGGTTAAGATTGAATAGCCAAATCAACTTTCCCCAACAGTTAAAATATTTTAAATGACTTGCATCCAACTCGCGTCTTGCTTCAATGACTGGGCTGGTACGCGCGCGAGAGGCGAAGTCGCGTGACGCGAGGACTATTTTCTTCTCTGACGTTTCCCTCGACGGACTAGCCGAGAGAACTAATCGTCATCTAGGTGAAATGATTCTTCAAGATGTCCTGTACAGGTTATGCTGAGCACCTCGAAAAGCCAACAGCTATCCTCGCGTGTTTTCAAAAAATACTTTCGTGTTTTTCACCCGTCACAAAATTCCGCGGGTTTCCGGTATTTGTCGTTAAGTGATCTAAAGTAACTCTATTTCGTCACGTCACGAACCCTAAATATGGAGGGTTATAAGGGTCAATATTGTGATGCAATTTCTGTTATTATGTAGCTCTGAATTATATTCGGTAAGCTGCCGAATTATGTTTTGACATCTTAAATTATGTTGTGATTTTCTACATTATGTTTTCCATTTTCGACTTATATTCTCCAGGCCGCCGAATTATGATTTTCGATATTGACATTCTGTTGTTCGATATGACCTGCTAAATTATTGGTTTGATTTTCTAAATTATATATGTTTTGCATTTTCGACTTTAATCCTCCAGGCCGCCAAATTACGATTTCTAAATTTCCGGCTTCTCTGAATTATGTTCGGCTGATGGACTGGGCATCCCAGTAAGAAAGCAACGAGAAACCCTGGGACGAGAAAAACTCCCGCCTTTTATAATTTATGTTAATAATTACCAAGTCCGACATCTTGGTTTATATGGAATATGGCGGAGAAAGATAGAAAGAGATCGATAGATGGAGGGGACCATGACGAAGCTGAAGATGGAGAAAGGGCGAGCAAAAGTCAAAAGGCAATAAGGCTTCTGAGAGAAGTCACGACTTTGTTGACCGAGTCGGTTAACGAGGGGGAAGCGAAAGAGTCCCGTGAAGAGCCAAAGCGGGTGGGAGCATCATCGAACGCCATTCTAAACGACTTTCGCAACATTTTCAGCCCATACAGGATATCTCCTGTCGCGCTCACGTCCACTTTTCAACAGCCAAAACATCGATCGTCGAAACCAAAGCAACGTGGTGTGTTCTTTCAGCCCAAGGAAACTTGGACGCATGAGTTTTTTTGTTTGGCTCTGAAGGGTCAAACCAGAGCTCCTTTAAGGGCTGAAAAATTCCAACTGCAAGCCGCTGGTTTAGGGAGGCGGAAAATTTGTTTCCACTCTAAGGCAAAATTTTCAGAGTTTCGTGAGAAATTGGAAGAGGAGTTTCCTAAACTAAAGTCAGGTGGTGGCTTTGTGCTCATGAGGACCGGTCATCAAGGGAACAGCTGCCTTGCCACAATAACACCACCAGCAAGTGGTTATTCTGTGCCATTTTTGAGGGACTCCTCAGGATTGGGCCAAGCCACGGCTTATATAAGACCTCTACAACGTGATTTGGATTCAACACCTGTGTCTGAGGTGAGGTTCTTATCATAAATTTCTCAGTTAATGAACTCTGGGCATTTGATCATGAAGTAAAATCTAAAATGGTCAATTTCCTAAAGAGGGTGACCGGGGGGGGGGGGAAGGGGTATGGATACATTTAAATCCCCACTCAGGGACAGAATACAAAATAACAGACAGTCAATAACCTCTGGAGCCAGGGTGTTATTTCATAGAACAGCATAGGAAAATTTACCTTCGTATTGAAAACTTGGCCCCAGCCACCATGTACAAAAAACATTCCTTGTGTTCCTTGAGTGAAGAACTCCCTCTGAGGGGATGATTCTTTCTTTAAATCCCTTGCCTTTGACTGCACTGCCCCCCTCGGGGTATACATCGATAGATAATAATACTAATAATCAAATATTTAATAATAATAATGATTTAATATTTACCAAGGATAACCCTTCAGTACCAAGTCCGGTTATCAACAGGGTCCTGCTTACTAAAACAATTTAAAAAATTAAAAATGTAATAAATAAGAATAAACAGAAATACATAATAAGGAAACATGCGTTTAAAAACTACAATAAAAAATTACAAGTAGTAAGAAGTACTAAAGAACAAACAAAATATGTAAAAAGCAAACATGCACTAAGTTAAAAAACCGTTTAAAAACTACAATAAAAGTTACAAGTAAAATTCGTCAGGGGCTTTCCTAAATAACACTTTAGATGCCATTATGCTTACTAGGCTTTCTCAGATAACTGCAAGTAGCTTTCTGAAACCTTACCAAGCTTGCAGAAACAATGTCCAGAATGGTTTGAAAACCACCAAAAATTGTTCTTCATTATTTTACAAGTCTTATACACAGTGCTTTTTAATTTTAAGGAGCCTAGTGGCAATGCAGTTGAAATTACTTGTTTTAACTGTGGGAAAGCAGTGGCTGTCACTCAGTGGGACCTCCATGATAACTTGTGTCAGGGTGGTTATTCTGTTGAACAAAGCACCAGTATGGACAACTGCGTGGATTTGACAACTGGGAATGACAACATTGTCAGGGATTATTCCACCAGTGCAACTGAGAGCTCTAGAATGGAGCCTAGTTCTACCTTCAACCCCACAGATGACTCCATCACAAAAGTATCCCATTGTTTCAGAGAAGATTTCAAAATCAAAGGCTGTCCAGATGCTAGTTCCTCTAAGAAAGGTAAGACTGTGTCTGGGGAAGGCAGTAATGTCCAAGTATAGTTTATGACATCATTACATTGTTATTTTATTTGTTCAGCAGCTTGAGGCTGTTCAGTTCATATCAAATACCATGTCTGATCCCAAATCCCTGTTATTTCTCAGAAACCTATAAAAGGAACTTAAGTTCAGATGGGAGACCTACTTGGTGGTGAAATGGGGGCAGGGGAAAAATTATTTTCTTTATAGGTGAAGAGCAAGACATCTGAAGCACTTTTTTATTTTTAAGGTATGGATACTTTGTAGGACATGTTTCCGAATGTAGATGAAGATGACCTTCTGCTTGCTCTGAAAGAGAGCAACTTTGACCTTGAGGAAGCAATTAGTGACATTTTGATCAAGAGTAGTCCATTTGAACACGAAGGTGTAGTACAGTGATGATGTAATAATATTTCTTTATTAATTTTGTTGAATATGTTACTATCATGTTATGGCCTTGTTAAAACTAACAAAAAGTTGCCAGTGTAGGGGATAGTGCTTCTTATTCGTCTTTCTCAGTGGAACCCTTTATCTTGGCCGCTTTGTGCTATGTGGCCTTAATCCTGTCAACACTATGCTATATGGGCAAAATAATGGCTCTTTGTCTCTAACTGAAGTTCCCTTGACCTAACAAATTTATAGTGTGGAGCACAGCGTGGGTAACACTCAACATTTCATGGGCTTACCATTACTGATCTCCCCATTTTCTGAGGAAGACAGAAAAGGTGCCAGAAAGCGTTAACAGTTTTAACAGATTGTCTATTTCCTTGTGAGTTCAATAGTCAATGTTCTTAAAAAAAGCAATCAACAGCTTAGAGATATATCTTTCTTTCAGATGAGCCTTTCTCACCTAGCAGTGAAGTGGAAGTTACCCTTAAAGATGCTCTGCAGAAGTACCAGAAAATTGTGGATGAAGATAGATGCAAAATAATTGACGTAGACAGGGCAGTCCTCTGGAAGACAGCTCTTATATTTTATAAGAGCTCCTCAAAGGAACAGTTATATCGAAAGTTGAATGTCATGTTTGAAGGAATGGAGGATGCAGTTGATGCTGGAGCACTCAGTGTGGAATTTTTTGCTGATTTAGTAAGGACCATTGATTACAAATTGTTTGAGGGCAAACCTGACCGTCATGTTCCACAGTATAGCTGGGAACATGTCTACCTGATAAAAATGGCAGGTGTTATGGTTGCACACTCATTGCTTCAAAAAGGCCCAGGTATGCCTTGTCTGGCTCCTTATGTGTATGAATACCTAGTGTCTGGTGAAAAAGAACATGCTGCCGCATACGTGAACTATGAAGACCTGCCAGAAACGTCACAGACAGGAGTCCTTAAGGAACTTATCAAGAGGGTAAGTGCTGTAATATTGTATAATTTTCCCGTGACTCCACTTTCTCTAGCAGGGCACAGTGGACTGGCCCATGACATTATTGAGTCATGAGTACCTTTAAACCAGTTCTCCCACATTAAATATCAAAATATTATTTTCTTAAGGTTGAAGGTGCCCAAACTGATGAGGACATACACAGACTATGTGATGAACCCCAGTTCAGTACTGTAATTGATACATCTGGTTGGCCCATTGGTAGAGTCTTGAATGTCAAGTCTAAAGGCGACTTTGTGACATACATGCTGGTGGAAGAGCTTGTTGTAAACGCCTTCAACTGCTCCAGAACTTTAGAGAAGGTCTGGACTACTTTGGATTGGTGGGGATGATTAAAGCAAATCCAAGTTTGTGGAAGCCATTGTTTGTCACAGAGAACCCAGAACCTCTGAGTGCAGATACCTTTATGAGCCTTGTTGAGCCTCCTTCAGGTCTCGAGGAACTGCAGGCCAGAGCATATGCATTTTTTGTGGACTTTGTCAAGGGATATACAAAATGTAAAGGTACATTTGACTCATTTTTTTTACATATTATATTAGTTGAAACTGCAGGTTTCTTCCTGGTTTTTACGGCAACAGGTCAAACCAATTTTTAAACCAGATACTTATGTAGTATATTTCTTTTTTTTATATTTTTCACGAATTCCAGAGAATCTTATATGTTAACACAGCATGCTTACTTCACCGGTTATTAACTGAAAAGGAGAAGCCTGAAGTGTTAACTATGATGAATGTAGTACAGGAGGATTGTTTGTTTGTAGCCAAATAAAGAAAAGAATAAAGACACTGCATACATTTTTCATTTGTCTGGGCAAAAGTTCAAAATAAAAATGATTCACATTTTGGCTCTCAATGAGTTTTGAATACGTCCCTTTTCTGATAAGCCCTGCCAATCAATAAGATCCTTGGTTGCTAATTAGAGCATTTGTTAACGGCAACATACAAAATTTAATGTCCGGACAATTTCAAATTGGAATTTCTCTGCAAGTTTTCAACATATCGCTCTCAAACGTGACCAATTCGGCAATAACTGATCACAGACCTCTCTTTCCAGCAGTGTCAGGTTCTTTGTAGCTGTTCTGTCTCTAAAAGTAACCAAGATCTTAAAAGTTTACTTGATATGTCTGTGAAAAGTTCAAATTTTTTTTTCAGCAAACCTTACCCAATTTATTTAACATTTCTCTCATCAGAAAATATCCCAGCACTTGGTGGAGATGTTCCATGTTTGAATCTTTTATTGAAGTTCATTACTACAAACCTTCATGTTCCACCAACCGGTGTCGAGAGAAAAATTTCCATTCAATTCTTGAAGCCCAATGAGAGATTGCCTGATGCCAAGTCCTGCTTTAGCATCCTTTTACTGCCAACAGTGCACAGCAATAAGGACGAATTTGACAGGGCCTTGCTGACTTCTCTGCGCCATGCCTCTTGCTCCTTTGCAGCTGGTTTCTAGTTTAATTGAAACTGTTATCTTATAGTTACGTTACAGTTACATATTTTCCACCAAGGAAGCCATCTAGGGCACTCGCAAGTAGAAATGTTCAAGATATGTTCACAATTAGCTGAAGAAATACAAAACTTTGCAGCTATTCCAGAAACATTTACGCGAAATGTACACTATAGTTCCAGTTTTTTGCATACTGTTAATTTTTGGGCTTCATATACAGCTATACATAGGAAGACCAGTTTAGTCCTTCCTGAAGTGTATTGCCTCAGTTGTGTTGGTTGCACATTCATCATTTGGTCAGCATTCACTGTGGCATATGATAATCTTATAAGACATTAAAACATTCAATCACTCATCAATAGTTTGATATTATTGTATGTATAAATGACAGGGCTTCAAGGTAAATGTCTACACCATACTCATCACTTTCACGTAGAGGGTCAATTGAATTTGTAAGTGATGCATAATCGACTGGATGAAGGGGATTTCTGGTAATAGGAACTTCCACTGTGACATGATCATCAGTAGAGTTGTTTGGCGCAGGACCATCCCAGTCGACACCATAGTATTCACCCTGTAATAGATTAAGAATAAGGGAAAATATTGTGCTTGATGAATGGTACATGTATTTTTTCTTTACCATAATATAAAAAAGACAATATTATAATTCACCGAGCACCACAGTTTTAGAGGAGTCCAATCCCCTTACATATTACTATTGTTATACCATAATATTGACAGCATTTGACTGAAAACTACAAAATTGTAACAAAGGAAACTAACCTGATTCCAAAAGTCATCAATTCCTCTGTTTGAAGCAGTTACAGCACCAGAGATCCACAACTGCCAAGGGGAATTTCCATGCTCTGTAGAAATAGGGGCCCTGTTATGCCCATCAGCAAATATTTGTAGGTTCCTGTTAATTCTTGGAACATAGGCAAACTGAAGAGCAAACAGGTGAAGCTCATTAGAGGGATCAAGTATTCCGCATTGTTCCATCTCATAAAAGAGATGATAGAAAACGTGGACACAACCAGAGAACATGTCTCTCCAGAGACGTTCGATTCTCTGGTTGTGAACACTGCGGCCAGCGATATGGCTTCCCCTATTGGGACCCCTGAGAGGATGACTCAGCATATAGCGTGCAACTTCAACATTCTCACCACCCTTGTCAGATCTTACTCTTGAGGGTAGACCAAAACTGCTAACAGCAGAAAGAAACTGGTCATAGACGGTACTCGACAGATTGTCTGTGCTGCATCTTAAATAAACAATCATCCTTGAGAAGCCATCGATACCTCCGTGAATCACCAATCGCCATCTGCATGTTAAAAATAATTTAAAGCAAGCAATTATTAAATATAGAAACTCAAAATCAGGGCCCAGTTGTGTGAAACAAGGGTTAAACTTATGGGGTTAGGCCTAATTTTTCTGTAGTGTGTATGCCCTTAGATAGCACTTCAATAGTCACCACAGTACATGTTCCAGTTTCTGAAGCTGTTCAGGGGGTGTCTGGTATCCTTATCAGTGTGCTGATTATATACATGCTGAAACAGTAGGTCAGGATTTGAAAGTTTGAGGGACACAACCCTATGCAAAAGTCCCCTGCTGCCCCTCCCTGACTTTGAAATTTGGACCTACACAGCCTGATCAAGGAACGTTTTACCTTATTAATTTTTGGTTGCCATCAATATGCCACAGGGCAAGAGGACCGCTGACTTGATACCGTCTTCGGCGAACAGCTCGTAGCTCGAGGGCTCTAAGTAGTACACCATCAGGATTAACTCTCCTCATGCTCTCCCTGATGCGATTTTGTTGGACTCTATAACCACCATTCTGCAAAAGGCCAGTCATCCTCTTGTACCCACTGTTAGGAAATTCTCTCATTATCCCCTCAACAATCTTATCCAACTCATACTCAGAGATGTCTGAATACCTTTGTCTAACAAAGGTTTCATACTCACGCATTCTTCGTTTTACGGTACTTTCACTCACATTGAGCATGGATGCGATCTCCCCGGATGTAAACTTCATGTCCAAAAGAAACTCAAGCTTCTCCTTGGAAATAAAGTAGCGAGGTCTTCCCTGTTGGCCAGAGTGCAGAATCTCTGCCTGAGAAGACACATTAGAGTGGCGACAATCGACGTTATCGCTATCGGTGACCAACAGAGCTGCAGCTTGATGAAGAAGGTTCAAAACTGTTTCTCCAGACGGAATATAGTCAACATAACGAACCACAACACTGTACAACCAATCAAGACGAAATTGTATTAAATCACCCTCACAAAACCTGCTTTGTTCTATTAAAAGGATGACGTCTTTGACGCATTTGCTTAGCTCGCTAGATATCGCCTCGGACGTGGCCGTTACTTCGCCCGCCATGTTGAAAGCAAATTATAAAAGGCGAGAGGTTTTCTCGTCCCAGGGTTTCTCGTTGCTTTCTTACTGCGATGCCCAGTCCATCAGCCGAACATAATTCAGAGAAGCCGGAAATTTAGAAATCGTAATTTGGCGGCCTGGAGGATTAAAGTCGAAAATGCAAAACATAATTTAGAAAATCAAACCAATAATTTAGCAGGTCATATCGAACAACAGAATGTCAATATCGAAAATCATAATTCGGCGGCCTGGAGAATATAAGTCGAAAATGGAAAACATAATGTAGAAAATCACAACATAATTTAAGATGTCAAAACATAATTCGGCAGCTTACCGAATATAATTCAGAGCTACATAATAACAGAAATTGCATCACAATATTGACCCTTATAACCCTCCATACCTAAATGGCGTTAAATGTTCTCATTAAATTAAAAATCTTACTCAGTAACCTTTTTATAAGCTTAAACTATTTCATGGTTGGAAACATGTTAGGCGAGTTTACTCGAAAAATAGCCTGCGAAAACATCCGTCCCCAGCGGCGAAGAGCGAGGAGAAACGGATGTTTTCGCAGGCTACTCGAAAAACAACTGAGGGTTTTCAGAAAATGTTGCATTGTTTCCTGTCAACTGTAGTATGTTACTTAACACCTTGACGTTAATCTACTTAGCTAGCCAATGAGAGACTTGGAATTTCAAAATCAATGCCAAATTCGGCTCTCATAGTTCAGTTTTTTATTTTAACCGCCTTGCGCCAAGCTGAATTCAGTACTCTTGGTTCATTGCTGCGAAAAGAAACATTTTATATTTCGCCTGGATAAAGCCCCTCAGTTAAAAGTCAATGGGAGCTCGTTTCTTAGTCACGGACAGCAATGGAGATGTGGCAAGTAAAAAGATAATGTGATTTCAAATTTATGCAAGTCCGTAGATACCCTGCGAGCAGAGTCTCCTTCGATCTTCCTAGATAAGTCGACTCTAGGAAGATCGAAGGAGACTCTGCTCAGAGGGTGGTCCGAAGACAACGTCTTCAGAATAGATCTCTCACTTGAATTTCAGTCTTTACTGCTTCTACAAAATTCTTAGCTAACGAATACCTTGCAAATCTTTTATTCAAAGGAGGATGATAAGAAGATTATGACAGAATTTACTTCAGTTGACCGCCTGAAATAGATACGCAAAATATCTGCTCCGTCGACTAAAGACAAATGAACACAAGCAAAATCTCGAAGACTTGTTTCGCCGACCTTCACTGAAACAGCATGACCGGTATGTATTGCTTATTTTTAAACAGAACTCTAAATCGTTTTTAAAATTACCTTTTTGCAAATAAATAGACGCGTTTTGAGACAACCCCACGCACTTGCGTGGCCCTTTAAAGTTTTCTAAATGTTCAGTACAGTTGCATAGATTTTCCAGTCTTCGGATGACCATCTTAATTGCAATATTGTACTGCTGTTACAGAGCTATCATACGCTATTACAAAGCTTTTTTTTTAATGTAGCTTTGAGTCGCGCGAGGCTCACGATGACCACGCACGCGCGTGCGTGCGTGTTCCCCACAGGCGTATCGCTGAAAGACTGTAATTTTTCGTGCGTTAACCAGTGAACTTAAAAACGAAATATTTTCGTTTATTTCAGAAATATCATCAAATTTGAACGACTGAGGGAATAAACAACTTTGAATGAAGCTCGGCGAGTACCCATATTTTCATTACAAGCAAGACAAGTCCTGATCCGGCGGATGAGTTACCCTCAACGAGCCACTGTTTGGAAAAGGATCTTTTTTTACTTTCTAGTAGAAAAACATGGCTTGTAGAACAATGAAGGCCACTGGTAGGTTTTAGATCATATGCTCCGCTTCAATCATTAGCCAAAGAAAGTTACATGTACAGTGGGTGAGGAGTTAACTCTTCACTGGCAAGATCTTACAATTATTATATCATTGAATCTCACGAAATTCTTAATTCCCTATGTATTTGACAAAGCATTTTTGGCAGGAAAGGCACTTATACCTTAAGGGTTTAATTTAATCAAAGCACTGTATCACTATTGATCCTGGAGTTACTTGAATTTTTTCTTGAGGATGTTTCTGTTTACAATCATATGCCAGTGTACAAAGTTTTGTTTTGCAGTCTTGTGAGAGACATGCAGTATTCCAATTTAAATTTGCTATAGTTTAGGAAGCAGGGCTGATTGTTTAATCATTCCTTGTTCTGCTTTAAATACTTGTATTAAGAAACATAAGCATTTTTTACTTGCAATGTTGTATGATTATCTTTTTTATGAAGTTAGTGGTCAACTATGTTGTTGTTGTTCTTTGTAGAGAACGGTTAACATAACCATTAAAAATGTGGCTGAAGACTATTATTGTGAGATTAATGTAATTCATTATTATCAGTTAAAACAACCGTTTTCTTCTAACCCATATGGAATGGTTAAAGCTACCACCTCTTGACTATTTTAAATGGGTTACCACAGATTCATCACTAGTACCCAAAAAACTGGTTTACCATGACCACAAAAAATGGTTATTATAACTTATCTGTATGGGTTGAAACATATTTATCTTTTTATTTCGGTTATAACAAATAAAAATTTAAAGTTAGTTTAACCAAAAAGTAGAGGTTATGACAAACAATTATTAAACGTCATGAGAAGTGGCGTGGGCTGTGGTAGAAACAACCATTTTTAAGGGTCAATGTAACCCATAAAGAAAAGTTATTTCAACGGGAATAAAAAATGGTTAACCTGAACTATATTTTTTTGGTTACTGTAACCTAATAAAATACGGTTACCTGGGATTCAAACCTTAACCATTTTTTTGAGGTCACTATAACTGGCCAGTTTTTACAGTGTACAACCCAAGATAATTGTTATAGAATACATGCTAGAACAAATTATGGTAAATTTTCATCTAAATTTTTTGCCTCTAAGCTCTGGTAGTCGATAACTGTGTCCCTAAAATTATTACCTCCTAATTCTTTTAGAGCCCACTACAAACTCGATTTTTTAGTGTTAAGTGACCAACAATGAAATGACATACCCTTAACGTGATAGATAACGTGAGAGCCAGATCTACATAATTATTATTATTCTATCATTACGGCAACCAGCTCGAAAGCCTTAGCTCCTCTGGTTGCTGTGCACTAACTGACAATATTTCTCCTCTTGTTATTACTAATATGTTTGCTTTCTTCTTTTGTTTAAATAATGTGCAATATGTAATCTATGGAAACAGTGCGAATAAACAATGAATTGAATTGAATTGTTACGTAACCAAACTATGCCAAATTGAGAGCCTGTTTATATGAGTAAACCGCTTAGGTGGGGTAACCCGCCTGTCCATATAATCTCTCATTTTAATTGGATCGCGTTTATATGATAGGTTGGGTGACCCGCCACATGTTACCTCGCTTATCTGGGGTACCCCACCACCATGTAAACAGGTCCTGAGTTTGAGTTTGTTCCAACGCCTCTTTGCTGGTGTGCTGGTAAATATATAGGCGGCACATTTATGAAACTAACAGTCATTGAAAGATCACTTATTGACGCATTTCAGGCTCTTAAACGCATTGAACTACAATTTACAAAGCAAAGTAATATATTACAAATGTACCTTTGGCGTTATCTATAGGCAATATTATACTACTACATGAGAAATTTTTGCAATTTGATTGGCTTAGAGCAGTGGTATTTCAGCTTAATTTGAAATACCTACATGTTAAAATTACAAGCCTTTTGTGGGTAGTAGAATAAACAAATTATAGCATGATTTGTACGTGACCGGCATTTGGGATAAATACCACTCTTGATATTTCAAAATTGTCTCAAATAACGTATAACAATTTCGAAATATCACTCGTGGTATTTATGCCAGATATCACTACAAATCATGCGATTACCTATACTAATACTGCGGAACCTTTTTTAGACTATTTTGAAGGCGAAGCTGTTGATTGTTATGGCACCACCCTTCTACTGACAATTTACAACCGGAAAGGAGTGTTTCAGTGCAATTCATTAACGCTTATTGACAATATCTTCACAAATTAATAAAGTGAGCGAATATATAACATTTCAGTGATTCTATTTCGAGAAAGGTTGTCGGAAAAAGTGCACGTTTTATCGGTCGCAGCTGTTTGCAGAATCCACAATCCGACTAAAAACCGCTATATAACCTGCTCTGTAAATCCACTTTATCTTATTCCACATAACCGCATAACCATGACATGTTTCACTACTCACTTGGGTTCGGGCTTATATATGATTTGACTGTAGTTTTAAGTATTTGTTTTAATCAGTTCTCTGGGGTGTATTTACTTTCGTTTAAGTGTTCTTGTTGTAACAAAGACTGTCAGATTCCAAAGCGTGTGTACGTGGTGGTGTAGGTGGATATTGATACTTTTATTAATATAAATCTACACTACACGATGAGGTATCAGAGATCTGATTTACATCTTGCTTTCATTCTTCTTAATCTTCTAACTCTTCCACTTTTTCACTAACTTAGTTCTACCAACTTCCCTACTTTTACTCTACTTACTAGTTCAAGTATAGTAGCGGTTTTAGTGGCCAAAGGTGGACATGTTTGGGTTAGCTGACCGGAAGACTTTCTATTGTATATCTTATCGCGAACATTGCAACAGGTTTGCCATTGTTAGGGAATAGACTAGCCTACGCACAGCCGCAACTGACAAGTACCAAAGAACCAACGTCAGCTCTAACACCACAAACACGTCCACCTGTAAAAAACTAACATCTGACAATGCCAAGCGAATAACATTCCTAATATGGCAATAAGTAAATTCGCTAGCTAAGCATAACTTCAAGTACAAGTAAAAACAAAAGATTAAAACAGGAAAACAGTACGTGGACAAATACAAGACTTAATATGAAACTAAAACTAAACTTAAAAGATAAGATAGATCCGTCTAAAAAATAACTTTGAAAATACTCCACAACAAAAGTAAAAAAAAACCTTTTTTACTAGAGGACTAGAACAAAA